CTTTTAAAGTAAATATGGAGATGGGTTTCCATGAAAACGAGCAAAATCAAGAATTTGTTTCTCAGGTTACGAATCTAATTGAGATTGGATCTGGGCATTACGGGTAATGAACTATCCATCGATTTCCTTTTGTATTGAAGCTAAAAATTCCATCTTTACTTGAATTTGATATTTTATTGTTTTTTTTCCCCCAATTGTGTGTGTTTAGTTGCTCACATTATAGAAGACGATGCAAGATTAGAGCACCATGTTGTGACGAAATTTTTGATTGCAGACATTGCCACAACGAAGCTAAGGTATAACTTATAAACTAATATTAAAGGAATGATCTTTATCCATTGTAAAAATGTTCAAAAATTGTAAATTGTGTTTTGTTTGTTTGAATAGGATTCTCTTCAAACCGAACAGCTTCAAAGACATGAGCTTCCTCGACATGAAGTTTCAAAGGTTTTTTAATATCTGCTGAATTGTGAACATTTTGATTCTGTTTGTTCATTGTGTTAACATTATTATTGCACTTCATTCGGTTTTTTTCAGGTCGTATGCTCGCTTTGTGAGACAGAACAAGATGTGAGTATCGACAGTTTGATATACGGATTTTGTTTGCTCTTGATGCTGACTTCTGATTGTTTTCTTCAGGTTCAGCAAAACTGCTCCAATTGTGGTGTATGTATGGGGAAGTACTTCTGCTCAAAATGCAAATTCTTCGACGATGATGTAAGCTTTTTTAATCGAGTTATCGCCCTTTTTTTATAACTGAAATGTGTACCAATGAGACTCAAATTGGTTGTTTCAGCTTTCAAAGAAGCAATATCACTGCGATGAGTGTGGGATTTGCCGGTATATATTCACTTTTAATCTGGCCTTGTGGTTTGTGCTTACCAATTCAAAAACAAAATCTTGTGATTTGGTTACTAATTGATATGATGTTGGTTTTAACAGGACCGGAGGAGAAGAAAACTTCTTCCATTGCAAAAGATGTCGTAAGAGACATAACCTCATTTGCTTGTTTCCACAAATCCTCTTGCATTTCTTTGTTTGGAGATCTTACTTTTTTTTCTATGAACAGGATGTTGCTACTCCAAAGTTATGGAGGACAAACACCGATGTGTCGAAGGTGCATTGCATCACAATTGCCCGGTTTGTTTTGAGGTAAAAGAAAACAGTTGATCCACCAATTTCTTAATGAAATATAATGGTGTCTTGATTTTGGGTTTATTTGTTCTCAGTATCTGTTTGATTCCACAAGAGATATCACGGTCCTGCAATGTGGCCACACTATGCATTTAGAATGTACGAAAGATATGGGCCTACATAACCGGTAAAACAACTCTCTGAGTCTTTTATGCAACCGATGAAGGACGTCATTGATGAACAAAGATTAATAACTTTTCTTGATGATTTGTGTAGATACACATGCCCTGTATGCTCCAAGTCCATATGTGACATGTCCAATTTGTGGAAGAAACTTGATGAAGAGGTAAGGCTTCATGATTTAATGTTCGATCTCTTGTATATTCTCTTACTCTCTTATGTTCTTAAAGTTTTACACTCACAAATTTTTCTCAGGTTGCTGCAAATCCAATGCCAAAGCTGTACGAAAATAAGATGGTAAGCGAGATTGAATTTCATCATTGTATTCTCGAGTGTGTGTGTGTGTATACACATTGTGATTTGGAATTAAAATGTGATGTGTTGAGTCAGGTATGGATTCTCTGCAATGATTGCGGCTCAAACACCAACGTTCGGTTTCATTTGATCGCGCATAAATGCAGTAGCTGCGGTTCCTACAACACTAGACAAACGCAGAGAGGCTCTGATAGTCACTCTTGCTCCTCTGGAATGCCTCAGGTTGTTGGTTCGACCGGTTAACTTAATACCTTAACCAGAGCTGGTTTGGTGTCTAAATTTCCCAAGGGAGATTATTTGTACTTGAGATTAAGTATAGTATATGAGTCGATTCTAGCACAAATTTCAAATGCATATGGCGATTTATATCAGCACAAATTTCAAACGTAGATCCTGAGATATTATGGCCCCTAAACATAAATCTATAAATAACCAGGCACTCAACTAATGTTTCCCAAAATCTCGTGTTATTGGATATGATTTTGGAAAAAAATAATTCAAACTCTAAGTTTAGTGTACTACTACAAATAACAAAATTTAGCTCTGTGAAACAGCATACTGTGTTTGAAGATTAATTACATGCAATTCTTTGTGATCAAAAAAAAAAAAATACATGCAATTCTTTTATCAATTTGGATTTATATTTCAATATTTATAGCCAACAAAAATTGAGTATATGATTGGGAAAAAAAAAAAAATCCGAAGAAACGAAATACAATAATTACAAAGCTAAATCTGGCTCGTCTCATGACAAGCGAATTATTAAGAAGTTTAACAATGTTAATATATAACATTTTGGTGTGCCAATATGATTATTTTAATCATGTTAGGTTAATAGTAGTACCAAAAACAGGCAAAACGGTCTATTCCTCCATGAACTATATTGTTGCTGATTATTGATACATGAAGTATTGAACCCGGTCAAAACACACATGAACTCGTTTGTTTTTTGAATTTACTATATAATCTCTTAATACTTGGTCAATTCACACAAATCCATTAACGGAGTCAATTTTCTGTTTACGGGATTAACCCTCCGTTAACGGAGTCCGACGTGGTGGAATGCTTTGCGGATCTGATAATTTTTTTTTCTTTCAAATGTTAGAGTACATAAAACGGTGTCGTTTATGATTTGAGGCAAAAAAAAAACAATTTAGGGTTCTTATATCGGGTTTGGTTTGGGAGAGAAACAAATTTAGGGGGGTAGAGAGATAGAAAGATCAAAAGTGAGAGATTAGTTGTTTGTGGGTTTTGAATCGGGGCAAATTGATTTTGACAAGTATGGGCGACAGAGGGATTCCGATCCATTGTAGATGTGGAGAACGTGTGAGACTTCTCACATCATGAATCCAGGGAGACCATTTCATGCTTGTCGACATAGTGATGAGGTAATGATGTAATGTGATTCAAATTGTTGAACGGCAATGAATGTGTGAATCCGTAGAATTTGATTCAAATTGTTGTTTTTATGTTGTAAAAAATCTTCTCCAAAATCATAGCATCTCGAAAACGCTCTGGTGACAAATCCGAGAACGACATGCTACAATGTTTCATCGACTCAAAGTACAAAGACGGTAGAGAGACAAGTGAGTCTGAAGTCACTGGCTTGCTCATTGCTGGTTTGTTCGCAGGACAACACACGAGCTCTATCACAGCCACATGGACCGGTGCTTATCTCATACAAAACAAACACCACATGTCAAACGTTTTGGACGAGCAGAAGGAACTGATTGGAAAATATGGAGACAAGATCGATTACGATGTTTTGTCTGAGATGGATGTTCTTTTCCGTTCCATCAAAGAAGCTTTAAGGCTTCATCCTCCAAAGATTTTACTCCTTAGAACAGTACACAGCGATTTCAGTGTGACAACTCGAGAAGGAAAGCAATATGAGATCCCAAAGGGTCATATTGTTGTAACTTCGCCTGCGTTCGCTAATCGATTGCCTCATGTGTACAAAGATCCTGAAAGTTTCGATCCGGATAGATTCTCAAAGGGAAGAGAAGAGGACAAAGCAGCTAGTGCATGTTCATACCTCTCTTTAGGAGCGGGCAGGCGAGTGTCCCGGTGGGTCTTTCGCATACTTGCAGATCAAAACCGTATGGAGTTACTTATTGAGGAACTTTGAGCTTGAGTTACTGTCACCTTTCCCTGAAATCGACTGGAATGCTTTGGTTGTTGGTACTAAAGGAAGTGTCATGGTTCGTTACAAGCGTCGTCAACTTTCTTGAAGCTTGAAAACTTGGTTCTTATGCTATTTCTTTCCCTTTTATTTTTCATCTCTCGCTGGTTGTTTTTGTTTTTAATGTCCGTTGTTGGATCGTATGCTATTTCTCTTCTGTTTTCGGCTTTTATGTTCTAGACTCATTTCAATATTCCTTCTGTCTCATTTTGTATCATGTCTTAGTTGAAAAAAAACAAAAAAATTAAAAGATATTAAGAATATACTGCAGAATGCAAATGGTTATAAACTTTTGCTATTCAGTTAATATAAACTTTGGAGTATACAGTGGACAACAAGATCCGGTTCCAGATCTTTGGGACCCACCTGAATCGACAAAAGAAATGGTTTTTTGGACCTTTTGGTGGTTGGTCCTTTAGCAACGACTTCTCACCCATCTCCCCCTTTTAAACAAAATATTAGACTAACGTATCTCAATTTTCAAATCATTCGACCACACCCCCACAAGGAAAAATTATCCTCTTTGATTAGTAAATTACCACATTTCAATTACTACAGAAGAAAAACAAACTACTACATTATAAAGACAGGAACATAAACATCAAATAAGAGGAAGACACATGAAGCTAAAGTCTTGAGCTTTAGATTTAACATAATATCATCCTCTGCTAGTGGTAGAGAGGGAAAACCCATAATCATAAAAGGGAAAAAAAACCATAATCACATCATGGATGGAACCAAAACATGAATGTGAAAAATAGGTTTGAGATACAAAACCCAAAGGGACAAAAAACAGCAACATAAAACCAGAGAAAGAAGTAAAATAGCAAACTCTCTCACTTGGTGTATTAACTCTCCGTTGAGTTCAGAGTTAAAAACCAGGGGAGTTTTTTTCCTTTCTTTCTCATCACTCTAAATCTAAACCCTAAATGGATCAGACTTTTGTCTCCCACAACAATGGAGCATAACCAAAAAGCTCTAATGTACAAAAGATCACTCTCACTTCAACCCTAAGTGAGATTAATCCTGAAATCGACCTATATAATGGTATATTAGATGACTATTAGTACTACTTGAGTAAGAATTAAAATTCAGCAGCCAGAATTGTCTCGGTTTTCGGTCAGTGGAGAAGAACTTTCTGATACTTAGTTTCCGAATACGACCCATCTGAAAACACTCTTTTCCTATTGAATTTCCCGCACCCATTGTTGACAACTGGGCATTGGATGGTGACTGGAGGGATCTCGAAGGTCTTGAGGGGCGGTGGCGGGTGGTGCCATTGGGGTAATGGACCGGCTAAGAGGAGTGTCTGAAGTAAAGGCCCTGCCTTTATAACAGCCTGTAAAAGCTTACCCTTTTCAGGCAATGGTTTGTCTTGGAACAATGGATCCATAATCTCAGCTCCTGAGACTTCCTCAAGCTGAGATGTTAGTTGGTTCATGACATGATCAGTGGGAGACATAATGCTCTCTTCGCAGCAATCCGAGGATGAGAAGCTCTTGTTGGAACCGAGCTTTTGGTGAAGCTGCACTTGTTCATCTTCAATGCTTGAAGCTCCTGATAAAGGAGGAGTCATATGATTTTGCTGCTGAAGCGAGTGGCTATCGAACATGAGACGCTGACATTTCTCCAGAGCTTCGTCTCTTTCTTTGATGGTTTTGGTTAAGATATCTTTGAGATGGATCAATTGTTCATCTCTCTTCCTTATTTCCTCATGAGCAAACATCTTTGTTTGTTCAAGCTCTAGTGTTGTGCACAGAAGAGACTGTCTTAGTTCTTCTGTTGTCTGTAAAATCCAACAGAGGT